TTATTTATTTAAGACAGGGTCCCACTTTGTTGCCCAGGCTGGAGTCCAGTGGCACAATTGTTCACTGCAGATTCAACCTCCCAGGTTCAAGCGATCCCTCCCACCTCAGCCTGTCAAGTAGCTGGGACCACTGCCACACCCAGGTAGTTTTTGTTTGTTTTTTGGTTTTTTGGAGAGACAAGGTCTCCCTGTGTTGCCTAGGCTGGTCTTGAGCTCCTGATCTCAAGTGATCCTCCCATCTCGGCCTCCTAAAGTGCTGAGATTAGAGGCATGAGCCACTGCACCCAGCTAAAATGGCTATCTTTTAACAGGCTAGGCACACTATGTCCAATTTTCCCAGGACTTCTCTATGAAGCTTAGTTATGCCCTATTCATAAATTACTGGCACCACAGAATTTGTGAATTGTAAGCAAATATATGACACTTTTGTGTACTGAAGCCTTATTACATCAAGGATAGGAATAAAAGATCTAGGGTTTTGTCCTATATTTTTACAATTCTCAAACTTTTAAAAATAAATGTTTACTAACAAGATAGCAAATTGTTGACATATTTTCAAGCCATATAAGTGATATGAACTAAATATTTGTAACCCCCCAAATTTCTATGTTGAAATTCTCGTTCCCCAAGGTGTAGAGTGAGGAAGTGAGGCCTTTGGGAGGTGATTGGGTCATGAGGGTAAAGCTCTCGTGAATGGGATTAGTGCCCTTCTAAAAGAGGCCCAAGAAAGCTCTCTTGTCCCTTCTATGATGTGAGGTTCCAATGAGAAGACAGCTAATCTATGAACCAGGAAGCAAGCCCTCACCAGACACTGAATCTGCTGGTGCCTTGATCTTGGATTTCCCAACCTCCAGAACTATCAGAAGTAAGTTTCTGTTGTTTATAAACCGCCTCAGTTTATGATATTTTGTTACAGCAGTCCAAACAGACTGTGAAAACAAGTCTTCACTCCTAGCCCCTGAGTCTACATTGTAGATCTGGGAGCTTGGGAAGGTGTGTTCTAGTGTCAGTGAGGACAACCTTAGTCTGGCCAACTGGGTACCAGATATGGGAGGTCAAAGTGGGCAGGGCTCAGTCCAAACCCATTGGCACCCATGAAAACTGGAAAACAAAGGCTCCACCTACTCATGTTGGGTCAAGACTGCAATTTATACTCAGGGAGTGTGGTGGCATCAAGCTCAACTCAGAAGACAGCTCACTGGGGGAAACAGCAGCAGGCGGAGTAATACAAATGAAAGATTAGGTCACTGCAATTCACAATTTGTTTTGGCCTCTTCTCCTGGAAACTGTACCTTTTACCTAAAAGTATGATTTCCAAAAATACATAGCATAGTAATCTATAATAAAATTCTACACCTCTTTTATTTTTGCTTTAGAGGCAGGGTCTCACTCTGTCACTCAGGCTAGAGTGCAGTGGTACAATCATAGCTCACTGTAACCTCGAACTCCCCGACTCAAGCAATCCTGCCTCAGTCTCCCGAATAGCTGGGACTACAGGTGCACACCACCATGCTTGGCTAATTTTTAATTTTTTTAAGAGATGGGTGTCTCACTATGTTGCCCAGGCTGGTGTCAATCTCCTAGTCTCAAGTGATCCTTCCACCTCAGCCTCCTGAGTCACTAAGATTATAGGCATGAATCAGCATACCTGGCCCCGATTCTGTACCTCTTGAGGGACAAAAATATCAATGACTATTAAACCTATCCAAAAGGGTAAGGATTATATTAAACTATGGATATTATGGAGTGTCTTTGAGGCTCTTCTTTAAAGAGTCCCTGTATTATTTTTCCCTTAGTTTCTTTGTTCACATAGAGACTAGTTCGTTTTATTCTGATATTTCTGACAGTCTTATACTGCATAGCTTACTTGAGTTAACAGTAGGCAACCTAAAAATAAATTAATCTTTCATATGAATGCATCTTATACCAATCTGCTATATATCTGATTCATTTGTTTATGAACTGATAAAGACTAATCATTGATGTCTCTGCTAATGCATTTACAATGTAATTTTAAAAGAAATTAATTATACGTACATTTCACAGACTCTTAGAGCTGTAAGAGGCGTCTGAAATCTTCTAACGCAAACCCCTTATTTTCTTTCTTAAAATCCAATAAAAGCACAAAAACGACATGGCTTAGACATGAAAACAGGCACTAAGCAGTATAAAGAATGGAGGTCAGTTTGAAGATGTTAAAAAATACACACTTGGGAGGAATAAGCTACTTCACATCCACAAAAGATGGTGCTTATCCCTGAAGCACTGCAATTATTTTTTGTGTTCAACCTTTTTATGCAATTTTTCTAAAATGTGTTTCATACTTTCTTGTCCTAACCTGAACGTGACAATCATTTAATTTTGTTATTGGCTCAGCATCAACACAAATAGCAATAGTGCCTGGCACTATAAAACGGTAAGGCTTCAAGCCAGCCTTCATGCTCAAGGAGTATGTTTGCTGCTACCTTTCACCTGCACCATCAGCACACCTACCTCTGGGACCAGCCCCTCTTACCCGGGCCAGCTCTCTAAGAGGCTATCTGTTATCACCTGCGTGTGACCTGGCCATTAGATCATGTGAGACCCCAATCAGTTTGTTGAAACTGGGTGTAAAAGTCAGTGTTAATTTCTAAGTGAGGGCCTGAGGACTCCAAGAAATCTACTTTAGCTACTCAGAACCCCTTCCCTTTGTTCCTTATTTCTAAAGGTATGTCAGTGTATTCCCTTGCCACTGAAAATGTGATCTGTGACCTGAGAGCTTATCAGAAATGTGGCATCTCAGGCTCTGCCCCAGCCCCACTGAATCAGAATCTGCATTTCAATATGAAATGGGAGCCCCAGCGGATGTGTATGCTCATTAAGGTCTGAGCAGTGTTAGTCTATAGCAATGGTCTCAAAGTTGAGCATCCATTGGACCCTAGATGAGCTTGTGAGGCCAGAGTGCTGGGACCCACCCAGAGCACTGGCAGGTCTTCAGTGAGGTCGAAGATTGGTGTCTCTATCTAGTTCTCAGGACCACATTTGGAGCACTAAGTTAGATCACGGGTTCTCAAACTCATTTGCACATCTGAATCACCTGGAGAACTTTTACACACACCTGAGCCTGTCCCCAGGCTCACAAGAAGAAAGTTCCCAGGTGCTGGCTGTGTGCATTCAAGGTGGAGCGCCATCTTCTGAGTTCTCCAGGTCCTCAGGGCAGAGCTGCTGGGGAGAGGGACAGCATAGGCAGCATTGTGGCTGTCAGCATTCTTCCGGCAAACACACACTGCCATCAGTAACAGTAGCTCTCAGGGGGGAAACAGGCCTGGTTATTCCACAGACTTTCTGCAGTAGAGAGGCAGATGTCCTCTGAAATGGCCCTGGGCTGATGGTGATAAGGCTGTGGGGGATCGATCAGAAGCAGCAGGGCTGTTGGTAGAATCCCTGTAGATCACCGGCAGCTTCCTGGCTGCCTCCCTTCCCCATGATTGAAGCAGCCAAGGTCAGAGCTCCTGGTAAGTTACCAGCAGGAGAGAGCCCAAACCCTGGATCTCAGCCCCACCCCCAGCCCGGCTGAGCAACAGGCACTGGGGAAACTACTCTCATTTGCCCCCTAACCCAGCCACACTCTCTGGTTCCAGTTCCATTACCCTGGCACTATCTCTTATCGTAAGGATAGGAGACCAAATTCAGGTTTACATGTTGGAGATGAGGGGAGAAAAAAAAAAAAAAAACAAAAAAACTAACACTGCAGGAACTATGGCCTTATGGCCTACTTTGAACGAAAGCCATTGGGCCTCACTAGCTTGAAGGAAGGGGATTCCTAGATGGCTTCCTTGTTTACCAGGGCCCTGTGCATTGGGGTTTGGGAACTACAGTACACACCAGCTAATAGCAAAATGCTACGCTGCTTCCTCTCTGCCATTGGTTCCTGGACATTCATTTCCCTCCATGACCTTGTGGGTGGGAGAGGCTCTGGACTGGGGCAGAGTGTAAAGATTCCTGGATTACCTGGTCTAATCCCATGTACTAGCCATTCATTCACTTCCTCATTTCTGACATCTGGCCAAATCTTAAATGAACTGCTTAGCAGGAGACTGTCCTTCCTTAACCTTTTGAAAGGAAGCAAAAGCAGCAGAACCTACAGAGGAGTAGGGCCTTGGTTTGGACAACTGGTGGAGAAGATGATTGATAAAAACCATTTGCAAAGACAAGTAACTTTTGGTGTGAAATTGGTTGTTTCTAATGTTCTGCTTTTATTTCTAAGTGAATTAGAATCAAATTGTGTTAAAGAATGGGGTCATATTTCAGACATTCATTTTGAATGAAAGAGCAATAATAGTTTAATCTTTACAGTATATTTAAAACAAAGACTATATAGAAATATACTTGAAATCACCGGGTGTGGTGGCTCACGCCTGTAATCCCAGTACTTTGGGAGGCCAAGGCGGGCAAATCACCCGAGATCAGGAGTTCGACACCAGCTGGCCAACATGGAGAAACCCAGTCTCTACTAAAAATACAAAAAAATTTGCTGGGTGTGGTGGCGCATGCCTGTAATCCCAGCTACTCAAGAAGCTGAGGCAGGAGAACGCTTGAACCCAGAAGGTGGAGGTTGCAGTGAGCCGAGATCCTGCCATTGCACTCCAGCCTGGGCAACAATAGTGAAACTCCGTCAAGACAGACAAACAAAAAAGACAGACAGACAGATAAGACGGATGGACGGAAGGAAGGAAGGAAGGAAAGGAGGGAGAGAGGGAGGGAGGGAGGGAAAGGACGGAAAGGACAGAAAGAAACTTGAAATCTCTCACCTGTCTTGTCATTTGCCAAACACAATCAATAAACTGCAGAAATATAGGAGATCGGTCAGCATCAGCGTGGTTGTCATTACCATGGCCCACTCGCTGAAAAGAAACAGAAGGTTAAACATTTTAACATGTTATGGTCCTCTTGAAAGTCACTATAAGTTGTCCAGTGGTAAGAATCACGTCTCATCTGGCCTAAGAGAATTACTGGCATATAACAGGCACTCAAAAATGTCTATCAAATTGAAATAACTTTCATTACTTTTAGAAAACAAAATTTCAGTTTACAGTATTTTTACATGTTGATCATTTTATAATTTCTCTTTAATATAGTTGATATCAAGAAAGTGTAAGCAACTAGATAGCAACTTTTCAGTTAAAGTGGTAAGGTCCAGACCAGCCAGCACACAAAGTGTACAATGTCAACGTAGGATGCCAATTAGCACTTCATAAAGCACATGATGAATGCCATTTTCTCTACAAGTATAAAAACATTTTTTTCCATTTTTCAGAACTGTCAGGAAGTCTGAGAATCAAAATAATGATTAACAGTCTACAACTTTTTACCAATTCTACATGACTCAGAGAACCCCGAAATCTCAATCTTGAAATGGTAAATGGGGTAGGGTCCTTGCTTAAGGCAGTCTCGTACTGTATTTCATATCTTTTGATATTTTATAAGACATCAATAGATTTATACCTAAAGGTAAAAGATAGTATTCTCAAATACAAAATGATTGCCAAAACACTTAAAATGCCACAAGTGAAAAAGATAGCTAAAGAATGAGGATTCTAAGAGAAGCTTCAAAGAATTTGACTATAAGCAAAAGAATGTAGGGGAAGAAGACATTAAGAAAATACAAAGCAATCACACAGAAAGAGCAAAAAAGCTCTATGAAATTGCCACCTGGAAAGACACGAAAACAAAGAAATGACCAAATCAACATTAACATCTCAGTGTACTGCCTTCTTTTAAAAAACAATTTAATTGTGATGAAATACACGATATATAATTTATCATTTGAACCATTATTTTTATTTTTTAGAGACAGTGACTCACTCTGTCACCCAGGCTGGAGTGCAGTGACATGAGCACAGCCTGCTGCAGCCTCTAAATCTTTGGCTCAAGTGATTCTCCCACCTCAGCCTCCAGAATGGCTGTGACAATGCATGTGAGCCACCGCACCCAGCTAATTCTTTAATTTTTTTTGTAGAGATGGGTTCTCACTATATTGCCCAGGCTGGTCTCAAGCGATCCTCCTGGCCTGAACCCCTGGCCTCAAGCAATCCTCCCACCTCAGCCTCCCAAAATGCTGGGAATTACAAGCATAAGCCACTGCATCCAGTCTCATCTTAACCATTTATAAGTGTATGGTGCAGTGGCATCAAGCATACTCATACTATGCAACCATCACCATTTCTAGAACTTGTTAATCTTTCCAAACAGAAACTCTATATGCATTCATCACTAACTCTCCATTCCCCACCTCCCAGCCCCTGGCAATGACCATTCTACTTTTTGTCTTTGTGAATTTTATTATTGTAGGTTCTTCATATAAGTGGAAACATAAATGTTTGTGCTTTTGTGACTGGCTTATTTTGCTGAGCATGTTTTCAAGGTTCATCCATGTTGTAACACATGTCAGAATTTCCTTTTTTAAGACTAACATTGTACTGTATAATCATGTGCCACATAATGACATTTCAGTCAATGACGACTGCATATCCAATGATGGTCCCATAAGGTCATCACGCCATATTTTTACTGTACCTTTTCTACGTTTAGATACACAAATACTTACCATGGCATTACAGTTGCTTACGGTATTCAGTACAGTCACACGCCATACATGTTTGCAGCCTAGGAGTAACAGGCTATACCGTAAAGCCTAGATGTTAGCAGGCTATCCATGTAGGTTTCTGTAAGTACACTCTATGATATTCATACAGTGAAAAAATCACCTAATGTTGCATTTCTCAGAATGTATCCTCATCATCACACACTGCATGACTGTATATACAGACTACATTTTGCTTATCCATTCATCTGCTGATGGACACTAGGGTTGCTTCCACCTTTGGGCTATTGTAAATAAAGCTACTATGGATACCGATGTCCAAGTATCTGTTTGGGCCCTGCTTTTTCTTTTTGGGGGTATATACCCATCAGCAGAATTGTCAGATCATGGGGTAGTTCCATGTTTAATTTTGTGAGGCTCCACCACACTGTTCTCCATAGTGGCTGCATGCATTGCCCCGCTAAAAAACCACTTGTAGGAACTACTGTTCAGTATTTAAGGCACCTAGGGAACTGTTTTACACTGACAGTTCACAATTTAGGATTCATTCTTTAACAGATGGCTATGGAACTCCTATGGCATGTGCAAGGCATCGTACCTGACCCTCAGAATGTCAGACATTGTCACGGTGTCTGGTAAAGGCCAGGTCCTTGGCTAGGTACCTAAGAGACCAAAGCAAATGAGACACTGTACTTGTGCATGATGAATAATTCATTTGTGGTCTAGTTAAGAGGCAAAGAAAGTGTTCCAAGGGCTTCCAAGTATGCGTTGGGTATGGTGGGAGCACAAGGGAATGAGAGAACCATCTTAGGATGGGGTAGGGGAAGGAACAGGGAGGGACGGTCGTGCAAGTCATAGTAATGAAGGACATTTCATTTGAGATAAACCCTGAAGGACAGAGAGATGTCTGCTTCCTGGGTAGCCAGGAATTGATAACCAGTGGGAATGTGGTGGGGAACACTAAGGAAGCCATAAGTAGCTGGGCGTAGCTGAGGCTTAGATGGGGCAAGGGAAGAAGATGAGAGGTGAGGCTGGAGATGTAGCTAGGGCCATATCACCAAGGGCTTTGAGTGCACACTGAGTTTGCTCATAATCCTGTGTGCTACAGGGAAGCACTGAGGGACTCACACTGGGGAGTGGCAGCATCCGATCTGTTTTTTGGAATGCTCCATCTGGCTCCAGTGGGGACGATGGATTAGACAGAGCTAGGTTGCAGAGGCTACTGCTATTGTTGGGATGTTTGTCCTCCCAAACCTCATGTTGAAATTTCATCCCCAATGTTGGAGGTGGAGCCTAATGGGAGGTGTTGGGTCATGGGGGTGGATCCCTCATAAATAAATTAAACCCTCCTTGGGTGTGGGGGGGTGTGAATTCTCTATTAGTTCCCAAGAGAGCTGGAACCAGCTCTCTCTGTAACAGCTCTCTGTTACAAAGAGCCGGGCACCCTCTCCCTCTGTCTTGCTTCCTCTCTCACCATGTGATCTCTACACACTGGTTCCCCTTTACCTTCCACCATGAGTGGAAGCAGCCTAAGGCCCTCACCAGAGGGAGATGCTGGCACCATGCTTCTTGTGCAGCCTGCAGAACTGTGAGCCAATTAAATCTTTTTTCTTTAAAATTACCCAGCCTCAAGTATTCTTTTGTAACAACACAAACAGACTAAGACAGCTACTTAGGAGACTGCCTAAGGGAGTTGACAAAGCCTGAATTATGAGAGCATCAGCGGCAATGGAGATGAGATGAAAGATTTGCTATACATGTATTCAAAGTTGCAGGGCTGGGTGAGATCACTAATAGATTAACCACAAAGAGAAGAAAAATGATCCAAGGACTCATTCCTGGGACCCCCCAACATTAAGAGGTCAGGGAGGTGAAGGAAGACCTGAAAGTTGGAGGAAATCCGAAAGGTCGTAGAAACCTGGAAGCCGAATGAAGAAAGTGTTTGGAAGAAAGGAAGAATCAACAGCATCGAATGGTCAGGCCAAATTAAAAAGTGACGACTATGACAAGGCGAGCTTGTGGAGGCACTGTGAGGACGCCTGACTGAAGTGCTTCTAAGACAGTCTGGAAGGAGAGAAATGGTGATAGTGAGTACAGACGACAGTTTTGAGGAGACTGTTGTAAAAAAGAGCAGAGGATCAGGGTGACAGCTGAGGAGAGTTGTGAGGTCAAGAAGGTTTTTTTAGGATATAACAGAATGTCTCTACACCAATGGGAATGATCTAGGGAAGAGGGGGAATGGAGGCAGGATAGAGGGAAGAACAATTAGAAAGTTCCATGATGGAGGCAAGCAGGCAAGGGCAGGATCAGCCTCAGCTGGAAGCTCTGACACAGAACCCCAGATAAGGTAGAGTACACAGACGCAAAGGGTGGGTGGTTGCAGGCTTGAAATCACTGTTTAAATGCTGGCTCCACCCTAACTAGCTGTGTGACTTTGGGCAGATAACCCACACTCTTGAAACCTCAGTTTCCACATCTGTCAATCATAGTACTATCAGGATTGAACAAGATGAGGCATGTAACCATGCCAAACACATAGTGGAGACTTAGGAGATTGAGGCCACTAGGAATCTGATAGTCCTATTGCCTTTATTGTGGCCATGGCACAGTGGACCCCAGCATTAGCAAGTAGCGATGGGAGCAGAGGGCTGTGGGCACACCCTGATGCATGCACTCTGCTCAGTCCCAGTGCATGCTGCCATCACTGGCATCTCGCTAGACAGCCTTCACCACTGCCCCTCAGCAGGGCACCCGTTCCAGTTTTCTCTCCCCTAGGACATATAGTTTGGGGAGGAAGGTAGAAGGCAGTGGCCTCTGAGTCTTCAGAGATGGCCCAGTAAAAACATCTGGAAAGATTCTACACACTCTCTCTTCCTTACCAAGACCAGCCTTTGCTGAGGGGGGAGGAAACAAAGGAGTTGGTGATGTTGTTTAAAATTTCCCTGGCACTTAGCATGGGCCAAGCACTGCCCTAAACACTTGACACATAAACTCATTTCTCCCACACAACGCCCCATTTCAGAGAGGAGGGAATGAAGGAAAGAGAAGGGAAAGAATGTGCCCAAGGATCTACCAGTAGCTCCCAAAGGGCACGCAGCTCAGGGACTGTGGACTTGCACCTTCTTTCTGGGAGGTCCTCTTTCAGGTGCTCTACCCCAGGAATGCAGGGACAACTGGTAGCTTGGCAGACTCACACCAAAGCCCAAAGAAATCCTTGCACTGCCCATCCTCCTGCTTTCCATAGCAAGTCTAATGGGGACTTGAGGAGTATTCCCATTCAATGCACAGTTCAGACAGATCCCTAACAGCCCAATGGCCTGAACAGACCAGAAGTAGCTGCCAGTTACACTAAAACACAAATGGCCACCGGATGACCTAGCAACTCCATTCCTAGGTATACAACCCCCTAGGTTAAAAGCGAGTTGTTATAGGCTGAATTGTGATCCCCATACTTGAAGCCTGAACATTCAGTAGCTAAGGAATGTGTCTATATTTGGATATAGGGCATTTAAAGAGGTGATTACATTCAAATGAAGGCATGAAAGGGGGCCCTAACCCAATCTCACTGGTATCCTTATGAGATGAGGACATTTGGACACACAGATAGCAGGGGTGCCCAGTAGCTCCCAAAGGGAAGAAAGACCTTGTGAAGAGGCAACAAGAGGGCAGCCATATGCAAGGAAAGAAGGGAGACCTTGAGAGAAATCAATCCTGCTGGCACCTTGATTTTGGACTTCCAGCCTCCAGAACTATGAGAAAATTACTTTCTGTTGTTTCATCCATGCAGTCTGTGGTACCTTGTTATGGCAAAAACTTATATACATTCACTGTAGTATTCTTCACAATAGCAAAGGCGGAAATAACCCAAGCATCTACCAACAGATGAACAGATAAACAAAATGTGGTGTATACACACAAGGGAATACTATTCAGCTATAAAAAAGAATGAAAATTTGATATTTGTTACAACATAGATGAACCTTGAAAATATTATGCTTAGTGAAATAACTCAGTCATGGGAGGACAAATACTGTATGATTCCACTTATATGAAGTACCTAGAAAAGGCAAATTTATACAGAGACAGAAAGATTGGTAGTTGTCAGGGGCTGGGGGAAGTGAGGAATGACTGCTTAACATGTACAGCATTTCCTTTTGGGGTGAAGAGTATGTTTTTGTTGTTTCTTTTTTTTTTTGAGACAGAGTTTTGCTCTGTTTCCTGGGCTAAGGTGCAGTGGCATGATCTCAGATCACTGCAACCTCCGCCTCCTGGGTTCAAGGAATTATCCTGCCTCAGTCTCCTGAGTAGCTGGGATTATAGGCACCTGCCACTACGCCAAGCTAATTTTTTTATTTTTAGTAGAGACAGGGTTTCACCATGTTTGCCAGGCTGGTCTCCAACTCCCAACCTCAGGCAATCCATCCGCCTTGGCCTCCCAAAGTGCTGGGATTACAGGCGTGAGCCACCACACCTGGCCAGAGTATGTTTTGAAACTAGAGGTGATGGTTACATTAACACTGTGAATGTACTGAAGGACACTGAATTGAGCATTTTAAAATGGTTAATTCTATGTTATATGAATTTTACTTCAATTTTTTAAAAAGGCGTAAGTACACTAAAATAAGAACACCCTACCAGGAACATACAATGCCTGAGGTCCATGAATTTTATTATGGCAATTC